GAGAGAGAGAGAGAGAGAGAGAGAGAGAGAGAGAGAGAGAGAGAGGTGGTTAACGGGGGTTAATCACGCGGTGATATCGTCCCCAGCACCGCCTCGACCATTGTGAGCCCCTCCCCGGCCCGGCTAACGGCCACCTCACCTCCCTCGGCCTGCCCGGCGGTCCCTATTCCATCCCCAGGAGGGTGACGACAGCAGCTCGAGGTTGCCGTCGAGGACGTGCGGCAAGGGCTGGCGGTGACGAAAGGTCCCTGGTCGTCAGGAACTTGGCCGGAGTTTTGATGCAATGTTTTGTTTTGTGAATTTGCGTCAGTATTTGAGCGAGTGGTAAGTGAGTGAGTGGTCGCCTGGACACTAGACCAACGTCTCAGAGCGACGCCGAATCGACGCCGGACCGACGTAAGAGCGACGCCAGGGTCAGGGAGAGGAAAGCGGGAGCAGCAACAGCCTGTTTCCCGAACATATCCATACTTAATACGCCGTAAAGTCGTACGAGCGTCGTACGAGCTGTTGGTGGTGTTTGCGGTCGTGTGTGTGTGTGAGTCGTGTGTGTGTGCGCGCGCCAGCACGATTTCCCAAGTGTCACGAGGAGAAGGGGAGTGTTGCGAGAGGGGGAGGAGGGGGGCGTAACTGGAAACCACTTGGGGCAGTTGTAACGATACCGTATTCCGGCAGTTCGGAGCACTGACGGCGCCAGAGGCGAGGAGACTGTCCTGATCGTGCATGGCACTTAAAATGTGTGGAGAAACCGGAAACCGTTCGTAAAGACCGTCCCGATCGTGTATGACACTTAAAATGCAAAGCGGAATCAAGAAGCAAGAAGACGAATGAGCGGGATGAGAGCCTGTGCGCTGTGTTTCTCCCGGTCAGTTTTGATGTCCGTTTCCGGAGGACGTACCACAATTCGTAGCAATAAGTCCCTCAGTAGAATGCAACGCCAAATGAATGCCGAATCAGGAATCAGGGGAAAGCGCCGGGAGAAGTAGGGTGAGAAGAGTGCTCTCTTTTCCAAGTGAGACATCGACAAAAAGTGTGCGCTCTAGGACTGTGAACCCTAGAACGGTGTGTTTCGGTAGGGTACTATACGTGTGCTCGCGGTGCTCAACGAGGGTGCTCTAAGGGGATGCTCTAAGGGGGTGCTCTGAAGGGATGCTCTGAAGGGATGCTCTGAGGGGGTGCTCTAAGAGGGTGCTCTAAGAGGGTGCTCTAAGAGGGTGCTCTAAGAGGGTGCTCTAAGAGGGTGCTCTAAGAGGGTGCTCTAAGAGGGT